AAAGGTCTCAAATAACACAGCATATCAAATATACAGTGTCGACGATAGTCACTTCACGACGATCGGACGGAATCCGGCTTGTCTTGGGGTACGTTTTGAAAAGTGATGTTTTTTTTTTTGTTTTTTTTTACACAGCACTAAAACAAATGAACGAACGCGTCTATTCAGTTCCCATACCCCGGACCCTATCAGCTACTTCTCGCCAAGACCGGGAACATAGCCGGGAAGGCTTTTCAGAGATTATCTCAACGAAAATAATCCTCGAAGAACGTCGAACGACGCGCGTCGCGGGCTGCTTGACGTTCGCTCTCTTCGCTCGCTCTCTTCGTTCGTTTCCTGCGAAGGTCCAGCAGGCTACCAGCCCTGCTATTCCCTGGTTCTCACAGTGGAAGATTACAAAAACACACAAGCATCCTGAACAGGCAAATAGAGTAAATACTTTCAAGGAAAGCCTGCGAACTCCGAATGCAAAATGCAGGTGGGGAGTCACGCTGACCGGGTTTCCACAGCTCAGGCGGGTGGTAGAAATTTTTGCCTGACAGGGGTCGCTCGAGTCGCAAAATGGCGGCGGCCAGCGAGCTGTTTCTGCAAAGGACTATACAGTGTCAACGATGGTCGCTTCACGACAATCGGACGGAATCCGGCGTGTTTTGGGGAACAGCAGCTTCTTTGCACAGCTTCAAAGCAAATGAGCGAACGTGTCTATTCTGTCCCTACACCCCGGACCCGACCCCATCAGCTATTCTTCGCGAAGACCCGGAACACAGCCGAGAAGGCTTTTTGGAGATTATCTTAACGGAAATAATCCAATAATCCTCCAAGAACGTCGAACTGCCTGCGTCGCGGGCTGCTTGACGTACGGTCTCTTCATTCGTTTCCTGCGAAGGCCGAGCAGGCTACGAGCCCTGGTATTCCCTGGTTCTCACAGTGGAAGATAACATACAAAGGGGTAAGCATCTTAAACAGGCGAATAAAGTGAAAACTTCCAAGAAAAGTCGCCGAACTCCGAATGCAAAATGCAGGTGGGAAGTCACGCTGACCGGGTTTCCACAGCTCAGGCGGGTGCCAGAAATTCCTGGCTGATAGGGGTCGCTCGATTCACAAAAAGGCGGCGGCCAGAGCGCTCTTTTTGCAAAGGTTTTCGAACAGCCATTCTTTAAGCAACTTTTTTTTGTCATTTACACTTTTTTAATGATTTTTCTTGTTTGTGGTTTGCCGAGGCCATGTTCCAGATTTCGCACATAGACACTGTGACCTCAGAATAACCATTGCCTTCATTGTTTGACTTGAATAAAAACATGCTAATTTTTGAAACCATATACAGCGCAATGCGTACGACAAGGACGATCTTGAAATAGAATCGATAATTTCATATACATTTCACCACTGAGTTACAAATACCGTTTGCAAAATTCATCTTGTTACATATTGGAGTAGATGTCCTAGGAAAAAATATATATCAAGGATACAACAGGAAACACTTGTACCGCAATACAGCCCAGCTTATGGTAGCTGAACATCACAACATAAATAACTAAAGAGTCGATATACATTTTTATAAATGATAGATACAAATGAAGGGCACATGACATTTCTTTATTTGTCGCAGTCGCCATAACGAAAGTTGCTTCCCTTGTTAGCCCCTACGGCACCATACGCTCGCAAGGCTATTTTTTATTATCTTCATTTTCACACTCCAATCTTGGAGGGCTTTTTGCTCTTCTGCAGTGCATGAATTCTAAGAAAGAAAATGAAATTCTGGTTTTATAACAATAAAACACAAATATATGCGTTCGAACAACTTTGTCTTGCTGGTAGTCGTTTTTTTTTGTTTTGTTTTTTTAAATTCCATTACAATTCTTGTGCAATGAAATGCGTGATGAAAGGTCCACCCCAAAAGAGACACTAAATGTACATTTAGAGCGCAGCTCTTAGGCGCCTGTTTCTAGGTTGATCGGCGTCGACGTAACCGCGCGCGTCGCATTATGGGACGTTTCCCGCTAAGGTTAGCGGAGAAATTTTTCCGTTAAATTTAGCGTGGAAATATTTACGCTAAGTTGAGTGGGAAATTTTCTCGTTAAGCTCTAGCTGGGAAATTATTCACCTAAATTTAGCGGGGAAATTCCCGCTAAATCTAACGGGATAATGTTCCCACTAATTTTAGCGGTAAAATTTCCCGCTAAATTTAGTAGAAATATTTTCCCGCTAAATTTAGCGGGGAAATAAACGTCACGACTTCGAGTCACATCAGTCATGAACGAATTAAGCGCGAGGAGGAGAGGGGGAGGAAAGGAGGTGAGGGGGAGAGAAGGAGGAGAGGAGGAGTGCCCCCTCCCCTCTTCCTATTTAAGAGCTGCACTCTATACTTCGTTCCAGCTTAGGCCCGAGCGCGGCCTATGTTATGAGCCGAAGGGCCACTCAGACAGCGCAAAAATCTCAGCGTCATGGCGTGCTCTCTGCCCTTTATAGAAGTAGCCGGCAGAGGAGCACGCTCAGAGAGACGGCGAATACCGGCTGGGCCTATCAACTGCAGAGAGCACGCCTTGACGTTGTGCCTCTTTCGCTGTTTCATTGACCCTTCGGCTCATAACATCGGCCGCGCTCGGACCGAAGCGGAAATGAATTTCGCGTTACAAATATTTGTAAACGTCCCTGTTTTTTTTTTCAAATCAGATCGAGGTACTTGGGAGGAGACTTCATTTCAGTAGTAGCACCAAACAATATAGTTTTATTCTTTTGACTATTTTAAGATTAAAAATTAAAACAGCGTATTGACACGGACAAGAAGAACAAGGTAGACGAGCAAGGCGCTGACTTACAATTGAGGTTTATTCGTGCTGACATCGAGTATAAAACCTGCAACGTCAAAACAAACCAATAGAAAAATATATTACATGGATGCCATGCGTCACGCGCTGTTACTGTGTGTCTAAAAAGCCCCCCCCCCCCCCCCCCCCAACATTCCTTGCCGGATAAAAATAGTTACAAAGTGCCGACCCACAGTTTTCCCTCAATCTTCCAATTTCCCGCGCTTCAGTATTTTCTCGAATGAGTTTATCTCTATCCTTTTTAATCACCTCACACTTGTCGAAGACGGGAGTGCAACGACAGTCTCAGCAAGTCAGGCCAAGATGACCTGACAGAACCCATTATACATTATACTTATGCTCTCGCAAGCGATCATTGAGGCAAACAGGCAAACGGGGCGCTGCCTCGATGATCGCTTGAGAGACCATAAGTATAATGAATATAGGGTTGTGTCAGGTCATCTTGGCCTGCATTGCCTAGACTGTCGTTGCACTCCCGTCTTCGACAAGTGTGAGGTGATTAGAAGGAATAAAGATAAACTCACTCAAGAAATCACTGAATCACGGGAAATTGCAAGTTTGTGAAAAAACTGTGCCAGCGCTCCATCACTATCTTCGTATACGATAAGGAATAATCCTTGTTAGACACACAGTAACCGCACGTGACGGTGGCTTAGGGAGCATGTGGCGTCCATGTAATGTATTTTCTTTTGGTTTGTTTTTATGTTGCAGTATTTATATTATATAAATATATACGATGTTAGGGCGAATAAACTTCAAGTTAAGTCACCGCGTTGTTCGTCTACCTTGTTGTTCTTGTGCGTGTCCTTCCGCTGTTTTAATTTTTAATCATGGAAAACCAGCAAGAACAAACTTCTACATTAGTCGACTATTTTAATAAAGGTGACGTGCCACTATTTCTGGGCTTTCACTAAATAACGCGCAGCATTAACCTTTGACGTTCACTACCTACGAAGTATGGGCTAGATTACATCTCGTAATGGCACTCATCACAAAATTAAAAAAAGGCGGCGTTCACTTCCTCAAGTTACAGATAGAATGAGCGGCCACATGATCTCGTGCCTATAATATCCCATCCAGCGTTCATCACAGCCGTGCACTGGGGTTGGCAACCACATCGCACGTGCTAATTGCTGCAGACAGTGTTAGGAGTCGGCTGTTCCCGTCGCTGCAGCGATTTGACTCTTGTCCCCGGCCGAGTACTTGTCGAAGCACTGACTGTTCTGAGACCAAGCCGTGTGCTCCCGCAGTACCCGTGTGCAATCTAGAAGCTGCATTTGAAGATAGTTAGTAAAGATAATCCCGCGGCTACGACAACGATACGATACCCGTCACTGCGTCATTATGTTTGGCGAGGGGGAAGTTAGAAGAAAGGATCCACACGTATCGTCGAAATGACGCAGCGACAAAGACGCTTCTTGGTCAGTGGCGTCGCATGCAAGTACTATCGGGGAAAAATGAAATGCGAACAGAGGAGCGCGTCGCTCGCGGTGCAGGCTGCGCCGCGAGCCACGCGCTCCTCTGTTCGCATTTCATTTTTCCCCGGTAGTACATTAGGATAGCACAAGTGCCAGTATGTATGTGTGTAAAAAGAAAAACGTCCCAACCTAATGTCATTCCCCTGAAGATGAGCGCGTTGTTTTTACTTATATTTGCGATAGCAGTTTTACACGTAGCGCATTCCTACAAGCAGCGCGTCACGTCTTCCCATTGCACACGGCGCTCCGGCGATGACGTCACGCTCCCCCACTGCGCAGGCGCGGCACCCCCGCCGGCTCCACGGCTTAAGTGACGACGCAGGTGCTGCGCTTTTCTTTCCGTGTGTGTGTGTGTGTGTGTTTGTTTGCGTGCGTGTGTGTGTTTTAGGTGCGTTTGCTTTCCAGATAGTAGGACTTTACGTGCCTTCGCTCAGCCAATGGAAATTTACGTGCCGTTTCGCTCATCCAGTAGGATTTTAAGTGCCGTTTCGGTCAGCTGAAACGGGACTTTAGGGGCCGCTACGCTCAGCCCATGGATATTTGCCGTTTTTCGATGCTACAGAAGTCAGGTAACGCCGGGTTTATTGCATGGGACAGTAAATGCTTTCGCAATATTATTTTCATATTATAGTAATTATTGACGCAATGGAACTCGCAGCACCGGTTGTATATTTTAAGCAGAAATTCGCCTCACCACGAAGTTGAAAAACGGACGGTATTGCACGAGGCCATTGCCTCCCCATTTATGTCCACCAGACATCGTCAAGATGGATGTTTGCCTAAAGGCAACACTAGGAGGCTTGGAGAATTGTGGCTGGATCGTTAGTTTTCTTTTCCTTCCAGCCCCTTTAGTAGTCGACGTGATCATGTGGAGTTGGGCATAACATAAGAGGCGTCTTCGTTTTCATGAAACAAATGTCAACAATGTTTGCAGTTGTTGCACGTTAAGATTATTTTGTGCTATGTACCGTCAGTACACTGGGTATAGGAAAATATCTGATCATCTCGATATCCATAACAAAGATGACTTCTTGCCCAGGAAATTACGCATGGTCTTTCAAATGCAAAAAAATGCTCCGTGTACTAACTCTGCATAGAATAAAAAGGGAGCCAATAAGTACCACTTGTGTTATGTCTAAAAAAAGACAAATGCTAAACTTTTCATGCTGAATCGTGGCAGGCTCTTTGTGAGGCAAAAGTGAACGATAAATAACTTCTTGAAAAATATATAAGACAGCGCAGCTGCCATATACCTCATACCCGAAAAAAAGCGCGAAGGAATCGAGAACATTTTCTCTTGACTTACCAGGTTACCTCTGGGGCAAACTGAGGTTGGCAAACGCACCTTCTTGTGACCATTATCGCATCCCAGCTCGCACGACTCAGGAGAATAAGAAAAAAAAGTCTGCAATGCATTGGCATGTAATGCCACAAATAAAAATTAAAATAAAGCTATGTACATTAAAAAAAAAACGAAAAGTGAATTTAAAGGCCTGACCTCAAGCAGAAAAAAGGAACACGACCCTCACTTTCCTTCTTGCCAACCCTCCCATAACATAAAAGGAGAAAATCATCTCGCATTTTTTCCTCATCATTTTTCAACTTTTTTTTGACCGCCTGCTCAATGTGCTTATGCAAGTGTGGGGTTGGTACAATGAAAGTTTAAAAGCAAATCCAGACGAAATAAAAATAGACTATTTCTTTTTTTGCGGTGCCTTTTATCTTTAAAACGCAAAGGATATTTTCTCAGTCAGAAGGAAGCACCCAAATAACGACTGGATTAATCATGGTTAAGCCCCGTCCGAAGGCGTGTCCAATTTACGAGAGCCCCTGAGGTTTTCTAGGCGTCCGTGACACAGGAGCACGGCGTCCTGCGAAGAGCGGGAGCTCCTCAAGGAGAGCGGGTTGCGGGCAGATGGAGATTCCCCGAAGGGAAATAAGTCCCGCAGCTTCACGTTCAGTAATCTGCCTGTACCCCTGGGCATAGCCTCCTCTATACGGAGAAAGCCTGGCGCGTCGCGTGAAAAGACGGCCGCCGTAAATGGGAAAGGAGGGGTGGAGAAACGGGAGCGGAGAGAACCTTGTTCGCTAGCGCCACAAAAGAGCGAGCGGCAAAACGCAGAAACAATCTTTTTTTTTTTTTTTTTCTCTTTTCTTGTCGCTATCGCGGAGAGGAGAAACTCAACGTCCACCCTTTCCCGTTTCTCCCTGCGCCCTTTCGAATCGCCGCGCCCGTTTCTCCCGGAGTACGAAAACGACGGTGACGAAAACACAAAAACAAGCGTGGTTCGGGGAGCGGCCGCTCATGACCCAAGCGCTCGCTGTCTAGGTCTGCCCTTTCTGCTCTGCGCTACCATATTGGTCACCGTTCGGCGCGCTCCTCCTCTCCTTTTTCCTGCGGCCGCGCGCCCTATTGTTCCGTCGTCGATGTGCCAGGCTTTCTCCGTATAGAGGAGGCTATGCCCTGGGTTAGGGGGAGAAAAATAAAGCTGTTCTTTGAGTAAAAACATCTTCATTTGACCGTCGGAATCAGGAATATTGACTTCATCTTTACAGCAAAGCTGTACACCTCTACCAGACAAGGAAAGTTTCGTGTCGTTGGCGTTGTAAGCAAAAAAACTCCCGGCGAACAATTGAAGGCAAAACAGAATATCTCCCTTGAAATCAGGCATACAGCATACAGCTCAGTATTCGTTTCAATAATGAAAACCGCAGAACAAGCATCGAAACCACACGATGGATGATAAGGCGCGTTTCAACAATAGGAACACCCTCCCACGCGTTGCGGTAAAGATTCGGTTTGCAGCTGCTTCGAAACGGGTTGACCGTTATTCGAAGCCCTCGTGGGAAGTGCAAACCGCAGAATGGGTGATAACGGCGCCTGCGAAGAGAGCGAGGCACGTTCCTTCTCCCCGCGTGTGTTTTCGTGTCGCCGTTCTCACAAAAAATTAAGATTTCAAGCGAAACGTACAAGGATCACGCATACAGCATACCGCACAACATTCGTTGCAATAAAGAATAAGCACAAAACAAGCATCCTAACCATAATATGAATGATAAGGAGCTCCTGAAAATAATGCGAAGCACGCAGCGCTCACCGCATGCGTTCTCGGTGAAGATTACTAAAAAAAACAGTGAGTGCGCAGGCGAGCTGGTGAATATTGATCATGATGTAGAAAACCCGAGACTGTGATAAAAGCAGAGAAACTTGGTCGAAGAAGAAGGAAAGGGGAAAAGTAAGTCTCAAACTCAGCAACTGTGCTTATTTCCTCAATGTCTTATATATCTACGACCTAACCACCGACCACCGACGTCCCGAGGTCAACCTTTGTTATCTATACAATCCTACCCACACTGGTCTTCACCTCAACCGTAAACGGTGACCTCAATCCGAAAGTGACAGCTTATGAACTTAAACAAAACAACCCCAACAAAACAAACACGCGGACCCACTTCTCTTTTAGCCGGAGTATGGAAAGGCTGTTCTTCATCTAAACGAGAACTGATAGGACTTCCAACCGAACCCCTGCCCGCAAAATGACTCATCGCACGTTCACTTACAACCACAAGAAAAAAAAAATTACATTTTAAGAAACTTCTTGGAACTACTTCCGAGTTGCATCGAAGCATTGCTAATACAATTACCGATGGATCTGGTATGAACTGTCTCTCGTATAAGCCTCTTAGTGTTGTTTCGCTCTCTGAGTACAATGTCAGTTTGCGACCAATGTGCCGTACAATCGTTACACTCACTAATGTGTTTAGCAATCTCTGAATTAGGTGCGTTTATTTTTACATTTCTTTTGTGCTCTATTAATCTGTCTTTTACACACCTTGCCGTTTGTCCCACATATTTGAAACCGCATTCCAGTGGTATTTCATAGACCACCCCTTCCTTGCAATCAATCGACTTATCACCGGTGCGCTTTCCGACACACTTTCTGACTCGTCTGAAATGGTGTCAAACGATTCAGTTTAAAGTCGGATTTGAAAGCTACATCCTCACGCAATTTCTACATGAGAAATTGCGTGAAAATTGCGTGAAAGATTGCTGTTGCCCAAGCAGCCGCTGCGACGGCAGCTTGCGACGTGGGGAGTGACGTCACTTGCCTTTCATATATAAAAGAACCCTCCTATGCCCCGTTTCACCTTACGTCCGGACGCAGCGAATGCTACGGGCTATGTTAGCCAATCCCGTTCGGAGGACGTGGCCTGTGATACGCTTTCCGCGCGTCACTCTGTCCCCTCCCTAAGGTCACGTGACACCCACGCGGCCTCCCATTGGCTCCGATGGCTCGTAACATTAGCTGCGCTTAAACGTAAGATGAAACGGAGTATAGCGACTGAGTTCATTGTTCCTGCAGCACCGCGAGGAAAAGGCCACGCATAGTCAAGACTCCCGAGGAGCAGCGTGAATCCTAGGAACGGCAAAGGGAAAATTAACGGCAATACGACCAGCGGCGGCATTTCGTATAGTGCAGTAGGCAACTGTTGCAGGTGATGCCACAGTTTCGCTGATCAACCACCTTCCCAGCGTGGATTGGAGCCCCAACGTTTTTTTCTTTTATTTGATGCACGGAGGCTTCACAAAATCATTTCAAAGTACCGCCGAAGCCCCTCCTTCCCAGGGCGTTACGTCACATAAGGAGTCTTCGGAATCTCCACTCTCGGTATCTCTAGCGCCTACCAAGGCTATGCACGCGCAATCTTGCTATTTGCAATAAGGTCAGAAAAAGACGTCACGACTGGTGTCAGTGCGGGGAAATATGCCTGGCACGCTTGCGATTGCACGCGCTGTCTACACGAGCGACTCGCGCTTGGCGGCCGAAAGGTGCTTCTATGGCGTAACGGCTAGTCGGAGGTTTTTCGTGCTTTCTCGCGTATAGTAACATCTTCGGGGACAACGAACTATTGATGTTCACGGGATAAAAATATTATAGAATTCACCTCTAACTCGTTCTTTCTTTCTTTTTCGAAAACCTCTTCAGCTTTTTTTTAATGCGTCCGCATTACTGCCCTGGTGCGTATGCTGACCTTGGAGATATGCTGACCTTGGACATTACTGCCCTGGTACATATGCTGACCTTGACTCCTCTGTCGTCGACGGCCTCCGTTATGGGGCGCTCAAGGCAACAACTGAAAACAGAGTTCTCATAATCCGGCGTTGAGGTTGGTCTACGGACGTTGTCAATCCTCTCAAAGCAGACGGCTTTCACAATGGGCCAGCCGCGCGTCGTGCCATGGTGTCGACAGGCCAACGGAAAAGCCTGGGAGTGTCGTTCTATCATTCAACAGCCAATGTGACAAATGGCGAACTGCAGTTGCTAGCGCAGGGCTTCCTCGTTTCAGATGTACTGTTGGTTGTGAAAAAAAGAAATTATGTGTTTGTTGGTTCGACCCCTCTCAAGCCCCTACTTAGTACAGCAGGTATGATTTTCAAAAAGCAGGAAACTCGCTGATATCGGAGGATACAAAAAAAAATATCTCCCTCTGCTATGCCTTTGCTGGTGCAAAGCTAATCTTTGAGTATATTTGGGTATACTTAGTTTGAGTATGCTCAGCTGCGCACGCTCATCCACAGCTGCAAATGCATTCTGCAGGGTTTATCATGAAAAAAAAAACACAAAAGAAAATATATGCTGCTGCTATTTTGGCGCTAATATGCGTGGGGGAGTTAACGCGACCGATTAATCAATTAAATATATTAATGGGTGCCGATTAATCGCATTCAAACTTTAATCGTTGCCAGCCCTAAGGAAA